ATCCATCCTGGTAATCGCGAGCCCAGGCGCAGCAGGGCGACCGACCGACCCGACGGATGGCCGGCGTTGGCGTCCGTGTCACTTGGCAGCCAGCTGGTCGGCGCTTGCTTTCTTGCCAGCTGGCCAAAGCTAGCCTTGCCTCCGGTAGCCTCATGACTAGCTGAGTGACAGACCGACTCGCTCAGTTCATTCTCCAATCTACTCCCTCCCATCGAAGCAACCCGCTCGATCTCCGCCAGAGCCAGCGCTCTCCCAAACGTTCTATCGGACCAAGTCTCTCCTACTACTTCTACTTACTCAACCCAAACAGCCATGTTCAGCCTCAGCACCAGCAGCAAGATCTTCGCTCTGTGCATTGCCGCCACCGCCGTGTCGACCGGTGCCCACGCCGAGACAGAGGCGGACCAGACCTTGGGTTTGCTCGGACTCCCCGGCGTCGGCTATGGCGCACCCGGCTACGGATACGGCGCCGGCCCCGCGCTCAGTGTCGGTGTGCCTGGACTCGCGAGTGTCGGCGTCGGTGTGGGCAACGGCGGTGTTGGTGTCGGTGCCAACGTGCTGGGCCTCGGAGCGCACGTCGGTGTGGGCTTGCCCGGTGTCGGCTATCCTGCGGGCTATCCTGCGAACGGCGTCCCGCCGACCGGTGTCTACAACGCTCCGCCGCCTATTGTCAACGGCGCCCCCGCCTACAACAACGCTCCGGCTACTGTTGTGAACAGCGCCCCTGCTACGACGGGGCGCCAATGGCGCGTCTACTGCGAACGCGAACGCCAATGCGAATGCGAACGGCGGCAACAGCCCCTACTCGACCAAGACGGTCTCCGTCACGAACGGAGACGGCACGTCGAACACGGCGTCCGTGTCGAACGGAAATGGTGCCGCCGCGACGGGTGGTGCATCAGCGAGTGCTACGGCCAGCGCCAGTGCGAGTGCGTCTGCTCGGGTCACGGCTGGAGTGGGGGCCACGTCGTCTCAGAAGACGTACTGCCAGCTTCGCTCGGTGGAATGAGCGAGGCAAGTGTACCCTCTTAGGGGAGCTCGTCGAGGTGCCGTGAGCACCTCTTGGTGAACGAACGGGCTTTGTGTCGCGCGCGCGGTTTCGAGTCGTCTTGCTGTGATTTTCTCCTCGTAGCGTATGATGGATGTTGTCCTTTTGGTCGTTTGAGTAAGGAGTTTCAATGCAATGCAATGCAATGAATTCGAAGGTTTGTGTGAGACTTTGCGCATTCGAGTGCGTGTTGTAACAGCACAGTTGTTGGCCTGTGGTTTTGTATATACGCACCCGGCAGCAGGCAGAGAAACAGAAAAAAGCAAACACCTCTGGACAGTATGCTTCTCGTTGCGCTCGCTTGTCGCTAGTGTTAGATCATACCAAAGTCAAGGCAGCAATTCGATCCGATACTTTGGGATTTCCTGGTCTCCGATTGGTTGAGTGCAACTTCAACAAAGAACATACAAATACTAGTATGAAGCAGATCATTCAAAATCAAAGTAGAATCGCCAAGGCCGGGCCAACACGAGCCGAGCCGAGCCGAGCAGAGTACAGCCGAGCAGAGTAAAGCAGAGCAGAGCCAAGTAGCCTTTGAGGTTGCAGTATGTAGTAGCATCAACCGTGTACGCAGGTTATCATCGTTCAGCGTGCCGCGCCTTCGCCACGTGTCGTCCACATCAAGAAGCTTGCCAAGGCCTCGACACTACAGTTCCATCACCATTGGTGATTCACCAAGCTGAGCCGTGGAATGCGAATAAGAACGGGTAGAGAGTAGGAACCGACAAAAGGTCCCCGCCATACAGAAATTCGGGCAAAACATACAGAGGTGCGCATCCAAAACATACATACAAAAACTGCACAAACGCCACATGTTTGGATTAGCACACGGCGTCGATCTTGCCAAGAAGCCGCATTCGCAATCTTGCCAAGCAGCAGAATTCTCGTAACTCCGCCGTGGGGCAGAATTACTTTTTCACGCTTGTACTGCATAGCAAGGCAAAGTCCGTGTCGAACTATGCAC